TGCCGAAATAAAGCCTTTCCTGTTGTCTGACTGGGGGCATATTTTGTTCTAAAACCTGTATATACTTGTCTAGATTGATTACGCATTTCCAAATGTATAGGCTGCCCRTGGCATTGACACTAATTTAGCCCCATACCATCAGTGAGGCAGTTTTTTTTAACTGTATRCTGATAACAGGTTTGAGGGTTTCTCTTCTTTTTAGTACAAAAAGCTTTGTGGTGTCTGTAAATATGTTCAATTTTTATTTGTCTGACCACAAAACAGTTTTCCTCAGTCCATTTTAAATTAGCTGTGGCCCAGAAAGCACAGCTGCATTTCTGGATGGTGTTAGGTTTTTGCATGATAGAGCTTTAGCTAGCATTTGTAGGTAGCACAGTAAACTGTGTTTGCAGACAATGATTTGCRAAAGTGTTGCCGAGTCCATGCAGGGATGTGCGGAACAGAATCAGGCCTGTTTTTAATCCAGTGCTGCCCGAGGGCCTGAAGCTCTCAGGCTTCAAACATTAACTTTCAGCCTTGGTCACTGAGCACATAAATTTTTCTTATTCTTTCTTTTTTTTAATGATATGATAAAAAAGTTCATTTGGTTTCTAAATGATCTTCTATGCATGTTCAGTATGCTTCAATGTAAGATTTACAAATKTTTGTCCTTTTGTGTTATTTTTTTATTTGTATTTATTTTTTATTTACAACATGTCCAAACACTTTTGTAATTGGGGTTGTTATATAGTGGACAGACAAGATCCGCACATGGGTTGAGAAAAATTCTGTGAGCTTTCACAGTCACATGTAAGTGAACGAAAACCAAAACGCTCACTTGCTAAGAATGTGAGAGACGGCAGATAAATCCATCATTGAGCTCTCCTAAAAATAGCAACATGAAGAAAAAAAAACAGGAAAGAGAGTGCAGAGAACCACGGGGCTTAAAAGACACAGTTGAGGGAAGTAGGCTGCAGCTTGTCAATCAAAAAAACTGAGAAACAAGGAGCGGAGGAGTCTGAAAGCTGTGATGCAGGGAGGTGTTGCAAGAGGAGAGAAAAGAGGGACGTGAATAAAAAGCTTTGTGAAACTCACAGAAACGGCACCCGTGTTGCATGAGCACACAAAAGCTCATCTAGAACAGAGCTATTAATGTTACCCTGCACAACAAGAACCAGAAACTGATCACAAGCCTCTCATGGCTGAAGTCAGGGTTTTGTCACCTCCACACCTACTGTTTTAGCATATAATGTTGTTGTCTTTTGTTTTTTCTTAAGTATGACTTTACAGGTCTTACAGACACTTTTCTTCATATTCTAAATTTAGCATCTTTTTTTGCATTGGAAGCTGGTGGCAGGAATCGATGGACCTAATTTTATGTAAAACATGGACTGGCCAAATAGGTTGTGATTCAGGCAGGGGTGGAGCCAGATGTTTTTGCAAAGGGTGGCACAGGGGAGGCCAAGRTGTTTTTTTTAGGAAGAACATAAAGAAAAGTCCTCTAGATTTGAACATTCAAGATGACCACAATGCCTGATTTCATATAGTTTTAATTCAGCTGTTTTGAGAAACATTTAGCTGAAATGTTGTGTGATCATAGCTAAGAATAATAAAAAAATAAAACATGCTGAATGCTAGTCACAACTAGACATAAGATTAAGATTAATGTAGAAGCTGCCAAAAACATTTTTTTACAAAATTCTAAATGCAAATCAAAAATCCAAGATGGCCACCACATCTAACTTTAAAAAGGCATAATTAAGTCATTTTAAAACGTACACACCTAAAAACAATATATAATGTAATACAGTAATGTCAGAGAACAATCTTTAACACAATCTAAATGCAAATACAACATCCAAGAGCCACACCTTGTCTTATTTGAGGGTGGCAACTGGGATGGCCAATCAGGTGCCAGGTGGCATTTGCCATGCCCGGCCACCCCTCTGGCTCCACCCCTCATATTATACTTTATTTGACTCAGTTTTTTTCCTATTTCAAGAATTTTACCAAGTAAAATTATCTTACTCCATTGGCAGAAACTTTTGACGTAATTTRAGTCAAATTTTCAGACTAACAAGACGAATAATCTTAAACATTCTGAAAACAAGATGATTATTCTTACACAATCAGTTCTTGTTTAGTAAATCAGTCTCAAAACAAGATCAAGAAGACTTTTTGGCTGGATATAAGATTTTAAAACTTGGAAAGATGGACAGTTTTTGTAGTGTAKCATTCATTTTGCTTGTATAAAACCTCATGAACCACTGGACAGATAATGTTGAAATGTCAGAAAATAGTCATTGTACTGTGTGTGCATCTACAACGGTTCAATGCAGTTTCAAATGTCTGTCACAGCCAACCGACTTTAGTCAGCAACAAACACACAAACTAGCTATAAATCAGTCAATTTTACAATGTGCAAAAATCTGAAATCTGGGGTAGCTGACAGTAATTCCCAACACATATCTGACTCTGAACACTATCACAGCTTGCAGTATTCCACCAAATAAAATGAGATTGAACACAATTTTATTGTCAAGGTACGACCAAAGCATCTACTAATGTATCATTTCTCAACATAAATTGATCTTTGAACCTCTGGCATGAAAGGGGGTGGGCCATATGCATTCCTTTAACAAAAAAATGAATAAATAAATAAAAATMAAATCCTAAGCTTTTTATTTTTGGGTAGGGGAAGTCAACATTTTGCTTACAATTCTCAAGGAAAAACACACCAAGTCTCATTGATWKGTAATAAAGATATGTATTCTAACCTATAAAGATAAGACTTTGTATGGAGATAAAATCTTTGTCTTGGCTTCATAAAACCTAAAACTAAAATAGAACCCTAAAGAATGTTGTGCATTATCTCTCTGCATGTTTCACTGTACAATTCTGGCTTTTTTACCCAGAGCTGGAGTAAAGGAATGACACATTCGCCCTGCAAACATCTTCTGATTAATGAGAAAAAACAGGTGAAAAGCAAAAAAAAAATTGTCTAAGCTTCTATTTAGAGACCGTACAAGTGCAGTCAGTCAGAGTCAGAGTGAGCTTACAGATGGTTTTGATTCATTCATGTTAAAAATTTAGAGGSAGCAAAGCAGAGGAGACTCTGTCTGCTACATCAACAGCACTTCAGGAGAACACTGTGTTCCTGGCCCAGTTCCCATGCAGCTTGACAAGTCCAGAGAGWGGACAGGTGGTGTGGGGATGGTGCTGGAATGGTTTTATGAGACGATGCCCAGTGGCCATGTGGCATCGCCCACTCTTCGTATGGGACGAGAGGCAGCCTGCGTGCCCAGAGTGACCACAGCTCTGAGTCACTGGCATCGACACTTCCTGCCAAAGTGGATACGAAGGAGTGCGGCTTTGGGTCAGGGCAAGGCAAGAACATCTGAAGGCAAGTTTAATGGCTGCACGGACAGCCTTTCAGGGGCAAAGTGACAGTCCGAGCTCGCCACCAAGTGCAGAACAAACCGCAGCTCCAATCAAAAACAGGAGGGAGGCTTGYCCTTTTGTAGATACAAATCTACTATTTGAAGAACGTTGGAGAAAGAAAAAAAATGTAATGTATGAACTCAAACAAAAGGAGAGTTAACCTGTTTTTTTTTACAATTAACGACAATATTACCACCATCCATCTCAGAATTTTAGATTGAAATCATGGTGTGATGAGAGGGGACAGAGTGGTCATTTTGATGACCCTTTTTATGACTACACCAAATATGAACATTTAAAGAGTTATAGCATATTTGTGAAAGCTAATATTAGTGACTGAAGTATGTCATTCATTCCTATATTAGCTGCAGTAATGTGCAAATTTCCCCACTCTTTATTAAAATAATATGAAATTAATTCAAACTTGTCAATGTAAACAATCAACAGCCTCTGCATGGAAACGATTGCAATAATTATCTCATGGCCACACATTATTAATCCCATGGCTACAAGATAATAATGCATGGCCATGAGATATTATCTATTTTTAATCCGTTGTCACTGTACGGGCTTTGTAAACAATCACACGGACATGTGTAAAATCATTACGGCCTCTTGCTCTGGGAGGCATTAAAACAAGTTGTGCCTTATTTAAAAATAAAGTGAGCAGTCAGGTAAATCAAATCATTCAAAACAAACTGGAAAATCAATGAGAATTAAAACTCACAATAAAAAGCATGTTTTTTTTAAAAAAATTGAGCCTGTTTGAAAGTAAAATTAAATATGCTCTTTTTTTTCAAAGAAAATGAGTAAAATGCTTCAAATTTACTCAACTCAGTTGAGTGGAATTAATTGACATAATTTGGTTAAGTAAACTCAACATTCGTTTTTTTAGAGTGTTCTTTACATAAGTAAAGCCTTCTGGACAGAAAAAAAGAGGTAGTTTTAATCTGGCAGATTAAACGATTTGATGAACACATGTTGTTGGTAAAAGAAGCCAGATTACACACAGATAGGGTCACAAGGCTACTATGTTAGTAGAGTTTTTTTTTTTGACATAACTGTAATCCATACAGTCCAAACACATTTTGACAGCAGTGAAAATCACAATAAAGGAGAACATGACTAAAATCACACGTAAGTGGAAATATTTGACGGATGGGAGAGCTGCGATCTTCTTCTGCGTCCACAGCAGGACCAATCGGAGACRAGCACAACTCATCTATCTCCCTGCTATCCCTTCACTCGGTTCATTCACACAAGCGAGGAGGTGAGGTTTAGCCGTGGGTAAATCTGGCTGAGATTAAAGAGGTCTGTCAACTTGCCTTCAAATGAAGCACTAGATAATCATATTAAGCATCATATGGACTCCTAATATTCACTGTGACATCATGCCTGCTACAGACAAGCGCCAGTAGCCTGTGGCCAGTGCAAACACACACATACACACACACACACGCTGCTGTGTCAGAGTTTGGACAAAGCATTTAGTGAGCAAAGAGGGGAAAAAAGAGCTGCTCTGAATGCCAACAGTGGCTGTAATTGAGGGATATGGCTTCAAGGAATGGAAACAGACTCACCGTGGCGAGCTCATCAAACTTTCCAAACAGCTCATTTAGCAGCTTAACCAATTCCTGGGCTGTGCACTGAGAGGCCAGGCTGGTGAAACCAACTATATCTGCAAACAGGATGCTGTAACAGAAGAAAGGAATGAAGGTCAGAGCAGGTCAGTTAGAAGACCACTTTTGTTATGTTTCAAGCAACCAAATAATTARCTTTTTATATTGCTCAAAATGGCATTTTTCATGGAAATTATGCTAATTCTCTTAAAATGTGAAAATTTATTAAAGATTCACATGAGTCACCAGCAGGGGAAAAAAATCTGGAGGAATGAAAAAGAAAGGAGCTGCAGAGGATCTGTCCCTATTTCTCTGTCTGCCTGGCAATGCATGCAGTGAAGCAGAGCAAATTAAAGAAAGCAGCAGGAGAATTGTCATGGGGCTCCACGACACGTCCTGTTATGAGCTGCAAAGAAGTCATTCTAAGATCGCGCAGTCATCAAGGTGCCGTCACTTTCCCCTTATTTTATTTTGTTTTATTTATTTTAAGTTGTTTGCAGGACTGAAAATTTTAGTCAAATCAAACAAGCTTTTATTATCTAATTATGTCCACTGTGGTTTGATTGGCWACTGAACAGAAGTTATTCAGGAGTTATTTAATCAAGAATGGAGACTTTTGTAGAGTTTAGCATATCTGCTATCAGCCATTTAAAAAGCTATTTATTCACTAAGAGAACTGCAAAGAGTTATTCTAAAACTGCACCTTTAAAAGTCTCAAAGCAGTGATTTCTTTTTTTAATCTGCAATTTATTCAGTGTAATAACAGAGGGTTTATRCAATCAACAAGCATTTTTGAAAGCATCTACTCAACTTATTACAGAGGTGACTTATCAAATAGTTATTTGCAAAGAAAAATATCTGGTGGATTAGGTTAATTTCTCTTATCTAACACTGAACTGAAGAAGCAAAAAAGGCTACAGCATGCTAACTACACTGTAAAAAATATATTGTAAGATTTACCAGAGAAAATCCTGTAAACAATTTGCACTAACATTTGGTAAATTTATATGCTACAAATTCATGTAATATTTACTCTCATCATTATCTAGTAAAGACTATTAAAACATATAGTTAAAGATTTGTGAATAAATAAGGTAAATTTTACTAAATTTGCTCAGTTAAATCTTGTGACACATACTTGATCAAATTAAGTAAAATTTACCTGATTTATCCACAAATATTTAACTATATTCTTGACCGTTTTTACTAGATAAAGATGAGTAAATATTACATGAATTTGTAGCATTTAAATTTACTTAACAAAAGTAAGTGCAAAGTGTTACGAAGATTTTTTTTCCAGTAAAACTTACAAGTTATTCATAACAGTGCACATGCGTCAAGCATAATATTGTAGGATGACACCTCACAGCTACAGAGAGAGGTGTAGCTCATGTTGTAGTTCAAGATTTCACCACCAGGTGGCAGTTTTGAAGAAACTTTATTGGATTCTTTAGGTTTAGAGGTTAACATTTAGACGTAACATTTAATATTAAAGTTTAACATTTAGTAAAAAAAAAAACAGCAAAATATAAGAACAGTGAGCTAAATAATAAAATGTTAGTGGGAAATTTTAAACTAGGATTTTACTGAAAATGTGTTTGTGAGCTCTTTTTATATTGTATTTTACACTTGGCACCCCATATCAGCAGACATAATTTTCAGTTCTGAGCAAAKCCAAAGTGGAATTTCCACCTGGCCTTAGAAAATAATTTGTCCCTCTTGTAAAACCTAGCAGTCCTCGTTTGTTCCTTGTGTTCAGGAACACGGCAGAACAGAACAGAAAGTTTTGAGAAGGATCTGTTCGAGATGGTGTGAAGGGGATTAGTCACGAAACTGTCCCAGACAACTTGCATCTCTGCAGCTTTTGTACTGATGGCAGACTGTTACCTTCATGTGGGCTTGAGATTTTTCACAGCGTGACAGAGTGCTGGATCTCTAAGAGAGAGAGCTGCTAAATGTCACTTTGTTGTCTCACAGATGTCACCACGATGAGGGGCAGTGGATCCCGCTTGTGCTAAATATTTCAATTAACAACCATCTGTGCCTGATAAAGATTAGAAATAAAAAGGAATGTTTCTGTAAACGCCTTAAGCTAAAATCACCAAAACACAAAAAAATCTCATGACTTTTTTATGTACGGCAGGGATTGTACATATGAATGATGAGTTTTTTTAATCAGTTCTCTCTCACTTTTATTTTATAACTTTATAGTATGCAAATTCATTATAGTAAAGTAAGCATAAAGTCTGCAACATTAAAGACAAAAAATATGGACTCTGAACGACAAATTATGTCTGTCAAAAATGACTAAAGGATTGACTCAGAAACACCAAAAACTCAAAGCGATCAGCCTACACAACACATGCTCTGTTAATTTATCCCTCAGGCTAAACACAAGTCATGTTTTCTGCCTGTGCTGGATGAAACCTGAACCCAAGCCAAAACTATTTATGACTGTCATTGAATTTGCTTCATAAATTTCATATAAATGTCACTGTGAAGTGAAACAGCTGAGGAAAGATGGGGAAAAAATTAACTATGCAACAGCCCATTTTTCATAAGAGAGTGAGTTTTGATTTAGACTTTTTTTTGTTAAAAGATAGCTGAAGAAAATATCGTCTCAAAAGTCTTTTAYAGGTTCACAAGTTAAAACCCTTTATTGTGATCAAGCATAAACAGAGCTGATGGGCTACAGAAAGTGTTTCCAATCACAAGAGGGCTAAAGCCTCTTGACTTTTGTTTCAGACAAGCCAACCACATAATCTAGCCCAAATCTTTGCACTCAATGAGGAAGACAGGGCCAGCTGAATATCTCTTTCCTCCAGTTTTGCAGTTTACTCCTTGTTTTGGTGCTTTCTGCGCACGCATATGATCCAGGATCTGCTGCGTGGTGACATCAGGACAACCCACATAGTTACAAAATGGAGGCGGAAAGCCACTGGGTTTGTTTTGTTTCTTATTTTTATTTTTTAAAACCAATTTTGGGTCATTTTAAATCGATTCTGAATCTTTGTAAATAAGAATCAGGATCCTGATGTGAATCAATTAATTTGTATATCCCTATTTGCTAACATTTGCTAAGCTGCGCCAAACTCAAAATGCAAGGTGACATTCAAGCTCTCTGGCAGTGAGGAACTGTAACGCCACCAACACCGATGTACAGTAACATTGTTGATACTATGGAAATCATTGCCACACAACACAGTTTCTGTATGCAGGGATACAACCCAAATCCTTAAAATGCAACAAGGAAGCTACTGTTTAAATCATCTCTCACAGGAAAGCAGCTGAGTTCTCTGACCTCATCACAAATWGGCAGAAAGACGATGGCTATCATGTTTTAGGTGATGAGAAACACTACTCCACTACAGCTATTATGACCAAAGGGACAAACATTGTAACTGCACAAGCGTGCATGTGTGGTTTGTGTGTGTGTGTGTGTGTGTGGGTGAAGGTACAACTGATACATGGGTGTTTACAGGAACCTCAGAGAAACATTTGCTGCTGTCTGGAGGGATGCCTTAATCCCAAGAGGTACATGGTTATTTCAGCAGAACTGTGCCTGGTCTCATTCTGTAGAACTTACAGTGGTGTTGCCTCATACACACACACACACACTGTGTGTGTTTGTGTATGTGTGTGTGTGTGTTAGATCGGCTTGCAGTCCATCCACTGTAAATATACATTACTATTTGACAGCACACCATGAAGAAAAGAATCAGTCTGTGAGCATGAGCTGAAATCTGGYTTGCAATAATACTGGACAGAGATTTTAGCTTTTATAGAGCTGCAACGACGCTGTGATCCCGTATGATTAAAAGTTTTTAATTAAAAAGTGTTTTTTGCATGTGTTGCACAATTGAAATACAATAAAGTAATTACCAACTTTAAATTAAATAAAAACTATTTTCATTTTATTGTAAATGATAAGTCAATTACAGTGAAGCCCAGAATTTCATGGTGATTACGTTCTTAAAGTACCTCGTGATAAAATGCAAAGATTRGATGCAATCCAGAAAAGGCTTATAGCGCGCATGGGTGTCATCTCAATGTTGTAAGAACCAAACAAAAATGCACAAGAGCTAAACAGTTAGCAGCTACAGTAAACTGTTAGAAAGCAGAAATGTTGTACTGAGGGTCAAACCAGATCTTAAAATGAAAAAAATTCAAACCCACAAAAGCACAAAGGAATACCAAAAGAAACATTACCTCAGAATCTGATAACAGGAGTCACCTTTAAAACAAATACTGAAAACATAACTGGCTCAGAATTGAAAATTTGTCAAAGCAAAAATAGATCTTACAGAACAACATCAATAATAGTAATATGTAAATTATTGTGTAAACTGTGCTGTGCATTCAATTCAATTCAAATTCAATTCAATTCAGTTCAATTCAAAAATACTTTATTAATCCCAGAGGGAAATTATGAAGAAATCATGAAGCCTAGGGATGTTTTTTTAAAGAATCAAAATTGGAACAAAGACAATTAGACAATCAAAATAGCATTTAAATTAAAAATAAAATCCAATAAAAGACTCATAGACTCTCAGGGGAGGAAAAAAAGTTGTTTGCTCGGGTGAGTAAGTAGGAGTTTATAGGACCATTTTTTGTTTATTTTCTACTATAGTGGCAAAAGRGAGCTACAGATCTGACAGCTCTGTTAGCAAACGTTTGCCTCCTGGTGTGAGGAGAGGAGAACGGGACAGCAACAGAAGACCTGGGGGTCCAGGGTGGGGTGTAAGGGCGAAGGAGATTAAAGAGGTACCGAGAAGAACACCTATGAAGTCATTAGGTGAGAAGGAGAATTTCGTGATGAGACCCATTGAAGCTGAATGGGAGCTGGAGGGAYGAGTTGCCAGGGTTTAGTGTGGATAAGAACCCTGGCAGCAGAGTTTTGGGCAGCTTTACGAAGCGTCCCAACCAAGACTCTGCTGCAGTAATCCAAACAGGAGGTGGAGAAAGCAGGAATGAAATTTTCTGTCACTGAATCGGGGCATGATGGCTGGAGTCTTGAGGTGTTTTTGAGATAGAAAAGGCAGATTTTATGTTGGATTTGATATGTGGCTTAAAGAGTAGAGTGCGGYAAAACTCTCAGGGGCGAGGACTGCATCTGTCAAATGAGCATTTACCATGTTTGCCCTCATGAACATGCGTGAAAAACTGAGAGGAGGATATCATCATTTTACATTTTTTGCATTTTTGTTATTCTTTGTTCATTCAGTCTTCACACATCATTTAGTACACACTATGTATTTCAATTTGTGCAGTTATTTAGCACTAGTTATCTGGGAATAGATCAGCCACTAAGGTTGCAAACCTCAGCGGATAGTTGGATGGACAAAACATCTTTCCAGAAGGATATCTCCTGGGATGTGTCTATTCCAACAAACTGTGCAAAGGATCCCCACAGTCTATTATTAGAGGAGAACTACTGTTGACAAAACTTTTCTGTAACTTAAATAAAAATCTTTGCTCAAACATCTGGCTCTTTTCAGTGAAATGTCTTCAACTGCAGCTATGCTGAAAAAAAATCCCTCTGGTGATTAGAACTCTATGGTGTCTTGTAATGTCTGACAACCACTTTCCCCCTTTATCTCTCGTTCTCTCTCTCTCTCACACACACACACACACACTCATGGATGCACACACTCACACTTATTCATCATTTCCTCTCCAGTGGCACGTATTTGAAGAAAGTTATTTCTCCAATTATGCAAATATCTCTTCTCCTCTCTGGAAGGCATTGCCGGAGCCAGTCGAGGCAGATGTGATGTCAATTTAATCACACGGCCGAAGATACGAGCCACGTGTCGTCCCCGGGGTTAAACGCTGGGTGAGCCCCTCTGGAGGTACAGTGTGGGAAGCAGATGTGCTGACGCCAAGTCGACAAAACTGCAACATGCTTACTGACAACTTTAAACAGACAACATGCACTCTGTGTGTGTGTGTGTGTGTGTGTGTGTGTGTGTGTGTGTGTGTGTGTGTGTGTGTG